TAATAAAACAATGTGGTCTTTGGAAAATAAAGAGTCTTTAAAGTAAATATGTGGCAACACTGTGGGGATAATGCTGTTGAGGCGGCAGATCAGTAACTTCTGACGCTCCAAGCCCTCAGGGAGTCGGCTCAAGATCGCTTGTCTTTGATAAGGTCCTCAAACTGCAGTTACAACTTCACGATTCCAGAAAACGTCGACAAAACGCAGCTTAAACGCTCACAGGACGCAAAATACGGCTTTGTCACGTGTGGTTTGCGTCGCATCTGTAAATCCCTGACATTAGTTTTATTATTTTATTTTTTTTCCGGAGGAGTTGTTTGTATGCAGCTGTCGGGACCAGGCAAGGCGGTTCGTTCCTTTGAAGTGCGCAGCTCCAGCCTCGCGCTTCAGTTGGTGTTGGAGTCGCCTACAGGAGAGGAGAGACCTACTGAGCGGCATGGCAGCCTGAAAGCACAGGGAGGAGAAGAAGCGAGATTTTTTTTCTCTCCTTTTCTCAGAACCGAACCGACTGTATTTGGACGCGTTTATTTTTTATTATTATTAATTTGTGGGGAAACCAGAAATGTGGATTATATGCGCCTTTTGTGGATAAAACGCAGAGTTTACGCCGAGGAACAAACTCGTGGATCGATGGTAAGTTGGGAGACTCCGAGCCTCCTCAAACTCGCCCCCATTGGAGTTCTCTTTGATGTGCTTTTGACTCGCCTTTGAAGCAACATTTTGGGGGGAAACAAACCGTCTTTTTGTGCMTTTAGAGACTCACAAACACACCGTATCGTCACTATATCTTCTCTTCAAACGTGTTCGCTTTCAGGCTTCATTTTTTAGTAGAAAAACACTCAGAAGTGTTTCGTTTCTCGTTGAGCAATTCCTCCCCCACAACATCAGAGACTTTGCTGTACTTGGGACTGGATGTTCAAACAGTGGTTGTATTTTTTTCGCCCRTAAAGGAATTTTAAATGACTCACGGTTAGTAATAAGCTTTAATAAGACTGTAATGTACACAGTGGGCTACTTTTATTTATAGAAGTGTTCTCTTTGATGAAAGCCTGCGTTTAAAAAAAAAAAAAGGACTAACCGTGTGTTTGGGTTTTACTGCACTTCTATCAGTCTTTATTACCTGTACCCAACTGGTTCACTATTTTGGTCACGTTTTTCATCTCCTGGAGTTTATCCCCGCATCCCTCTGGTACTGGAAGGGGAAGAAGCTCAATTTTAGTCGCTTAAGATGAGATAATGAGTCCTGGGAAATGACCAGAAGTCAGGAAAAGTGGCAGGAGTAGCTACATGTGTTCGTGCGTAAATCTCAGATAGGGATAAGTGTTTTATTAGTGCGGTTTGATGCGTAAAATCCAAATGAACTTCTTGGTAATTTGACGTTTTAAATCAGTCTGGTGTTGTGCAACGCCTTGCTGCAGCGTTTGGAGCTGCTCTGGTTTCTGTAAAAAAAAAAAAAAAAATCCGGGTCTCTTTGAAGTTGGGGCGGATCTGGTTGTGATTAGATCAATACTTTGTGTTTCAGAGAGAAGACGGGCAGCTCAGAGAGAACCAGCCCCCCCGCTGACATAAAGAGAGTGAGGAGATTACAGTAGAAGGAGCTCAGAGGGAGGCGAACAGCGCACGAGCTCCTCTCTCCTCCTCCTCCTCCTGCTGCCTGCAGAGCCATGAGCCGGGCGCTCATGGACCACACCGCCACGACCAGTTTCCGTGAAGATGCCCCTCGACCCCCGGTGCCCGGGGAGGAGGGCGAGGCGCCCAGCTACCCCTGCAAACTCGCAGTGATGAAACCCCTGGAGCCCAGCGAGCCCGTTCCGCTCGGCTCTCCGGGCTCCTCGGCGCGGAGGAACGAGGAGCCGGAGGGGAGCGCCTCCCCGGACTCGCCGCTGTCCCGGTGGACCAAGTCTCTGCACGCGCTCGTTGGGGACCAGGACGGCGCCCTGCTGTTCAGGACCTTCTTGGAGCGGGAGAAATGCGGCGACGCGCTGGACTTTTGGTTCGCTTGCAACGGCTTCAGGCAGATGGACCTGAAGGACAGCAAAACGCAGAGGGTCGCCAAAGCCATTTACAAGCGCTACATCGAGAACAACAGCGTGGTCGCCCAGCAGCTGAAGCCGGCCACCAAGACCTTCATTCGGGATAACATCAAGAGGCAGCACATAGACTCTGCCATGTTCGACCAGGCGCAGACGGAGATCCAAACCAACATGGAGGAGAAGGAGTACCAGATGTTCCTGACCTCTGACATTTACCTGCAGTACGTCAGGACCGGGGGAGAGAACCCGGCTCACGTCAGCTCGGGCTCTTTGGGGAGCCTGAAAGTTGTCTGTGGATACCTGCCCACTCTCAACGAAGGGGAGGAGTGGAGCTGCGACCTCCGAGCCAAAGCTCTGCTTGGACTGAAGAGCCAGAGGGCCCCCATGTCCCTGAGAGCTGTGGAGATGGTGGAGAGGGGCTACAGGTATGTCTGATCATCCCATAACACAAGGTGGACCGCGCTTTTACGTGCTTGTTAGCAAAATATCTCAAGAACCACTGGATGACTTTAAAAGAAACTTGCAGTAATCATTGATTAAACACAGCAGTAATGTTCGGATGCAGTCTTCATTTAAGATGATGTCACAGATAGTTGACCTAAAAAATACATAAATGGTTATATATTTTTTTAGTTTTACGAATGTTGAGCTAAAGTTTGTCGTCGTAGCTGAAAGTCACAATAATGGGGCTGCTGGTGTTAACCTTGRTTGTTAGCAAAATATCTTATGAACCACTAGATGAATCTTAAAGAAGCTCTTGGATGTACGTTTGGAGTCAAGATGGCTGCCACAGCTAATCAGTCGTAGCAAATACATAAATGTCAGTTTTGCAGATGTTGAACTAAGATTAGATGGGGTAGTAGCTGAGAGTCAACCACCAGACGCACTCTGAGGGTGACACATAATGTTATTTTCATGGCTTGATCGGAGCGGGTACAGCTCTGTCACTTGTCAAACGTGTAAAAACCTAAAACTTCAAGATGAAAGGTGGCGGGCYATGTGCAAGGACTGCTCGCTCGTTCTGCACCCTCTGAGCAGAGCTCAGACGGGATCAGCCTGACTCTGAAGCCGCTTTCTTCACTCGTTTTCACCAGAGTTTGCAGAAAACACTGTCTGTCCTCCCTGTTTCCCCCCACCTCCCTCCCTCCCTCGCCGGCCCCTCTCTCCTCCTCTCCAGCAGCAGCCCTCTGCTGGCGCTCGCCTGGATTTCCGGAGCTTTGAAATGGTTCCGCAGAATGAGGGATCGTCTTCCAGAGGAAAAGTTCACAGAGCTCGGCTGGCTCTCGCCCCGGCCAGCAAATAATAGATGATGACATTGCTATGCTYTGTCTCCTCTTGTACCCACACTGCTGAGCCTTTTTTTTTTTACAGGAGCACAGATCTATAGAGGCTCTTTGAAGTGAAGATTTGCACTTTATGAACATCCTCTTCTGCTTTGTTTTCCAAGTTTTTTACCATTTTGTGGCCGAGTCAGACACTCCTTTGCCGTTAAGTTTCTGAATTATTTTGTGAGGTCGAGTAAATCTGCCTGCTCTGAACTAGGTCAGTAGGAGCATTGTAGAGGTTTCTTTTTTTAGGCTTTCGTACCAAAACTGATAAAMGAACTTTCCCCCTTTGCCTCCATGTTTTCACCAAACCAATTCAGAACATGTGGGAGCCAGTTCTCCTTCCTCTCACCTCATGTCTTCTGCCTTATGTTAGTTTCACTTAAAAAAAACAAAAACAAACCCTGAACAGCAGCAGCTACAGTACAGAGTCAACACCCCTCCCTCTCACTCTCTTCTTTTCCTCTCTTCTTGTTTGTGTCAAATCTCCTCTGATTTCCCCCCTCCTCCTCCTCCTCCTCCGCCTCCTCCACTTTTATCTTTTCTTCCTTTTGAAAAACTTAGGGATGGAGGACTACGAGGCATGCTTTTGGAGCGAATGAGAGCGGAAAGGAAGGACGGGGGAGAGAGGGAGAGAGAGATGGGATGGCTGCAGACTTATGAAAGAAAGGGAGGGAGGGAGAAGAAAGGATAAAGGAAGGGGGTGAAAGGGAAGCAGGGAGGGAAGAATTCAGGGCCAGCTGTGTTAAATACCTGACTCTCTGCTCGCCCCTCTGAAGGTCAGTCTGGAGCTGGGGGCCTGCAGCTTTAGTCATGCTGGGTCTCTCCCTCCTCCCTTTCTCCCCTTTCTTTCCTCCTCTGAAACGCACACATGCTTCCACCCCATGGGTTTTGTGTGTGTGTGTGTGTGTGTGTGTGTGTGTGTGTGTGTGTGTGTGTGTGTGTGTGTGTGTGTGT